ACTCGTACCTACAGTATTTCTTTTTGTACTCCTCTCCCCTGCCAAATTCCTGCACTTTCCCCCAGAAAATTTTTGTCATGCCTCTAAACCATTTGTCCTTCATCTAATACTTTCTTAATCCTAATTTCGAATGATACGTTCGATGTTTCTCTTGGCGCAATGCAAAGTTGTTTTCTCTAGGAAAAAAATAAATCGAAGCTGGATCTTATAAATCTTGTGACCCTGCGTCTAAACCATAAAAGTAAAAAATATAATATTTGTTGCCCATCATGTGCCGCAAATAAGTGAGAAAACATCAAAATAAAAAAATCAAAACCAAAAAAGGGCATACAGCTTTTCCCGAAATAGTCGAACCTAGCTTCCTAGGTTTTGGTTGCTTAAGCCTAGACATTTCCAAAATGATCCGAATGTGAATCCTTATTCGTTCACAACTTTTGTAAGAATAATACATCATTGAGGTATTATGTAAATCATCGTCACCTCCGACGGTTGTTTGCGTACGTACGTGTAGGTTCATTACATTTTCTAAATCCAATCTCCCTCTCTCTCTTTCTTCGGTTTACCAGAAAATTTTTATAACATCACTTTCGGGGCGTTGAGAATAAATGACTCCCCAATTTATACCGATCACCAATACCCATTTTTGACAGATTTTTGACGTTTCAATGAAAATCGTAAATTACGAAAAAAAAATTTGCTCTCATTGTTTAGTAAGAAAATCTCCATGAACCGTTCATTCGTTACTAATCATTAATGCTCTTCTCAAACAAGTATGATTACATAAACCGGGATTTAGTTATCACTGCTTACTAAGCTCCAGTCGTTTCTTCACTGTTCCCGGAACGGGAATGCTGACGTCGGACTTAATTTGAATAAGTTTCTACTAATGCGGTGACAGCCACCTGTTTCCCAATTTAATCAATCTTCCTTTTCAACTTTCAGATTATGCTTCCCCGCAATTTGTCACGTGATAAATTTCTCTTTGACGTATGATTTACTGTGGTCACTTGTCATTATTTTAAATGTACTGTTACTTGCTCTTTCTCAGAATGAAATGCTTTGCGATTCCGATTAGTTGCTGCATCTACCTGCCTGCCACCGTTCCTCTCAAACGCCAAACCTTTCTTATTGGGTCACCTTCTGAATATGGCATAGGTAACACACTTTGGTTGCATTGTGCTCAGCTCCGGTGCGTGTGAAATTCATCCTCGTGAGAACTTAATTTGCATTCTTGGGTGGTGCATCTTTTGGCACCTCTTCCCTCGAAGGAATCCTTACAATGGAACGCCGCTCAACACGATAAATGAACCCTAAAATGGTACGGGTGGTTTGATTTTATCCGAATTGAAGAGTCCTGGACTTTGGTTAAAGTCAGGACTTAAACAGAAGAAGGTAATGTAAAAGGTGTACCCAATTATGTATGTATGACAAGAAATAAAGCGAGGCATTCGTAATTTCATTTCTCAAAAAGTATGATCGTCAATCTACTGTATTATCGTTTTATCGTAAGTTTTCGTACTTGAGAAACAAGATGAAATCGAAAAGATAAGGCAATACTCTGAGAGAATGAGGATATAAGCCTACGTTCACGTAAATTTCAAAAATAAAGTATAAGATACAAAAAAAGAACGCCTGACAAAAGGGTTTGACTCAAACTAAACGTCTCGGGCTTTGATCGTCACACAAATCTTGGAACATTATAAATTTTATTCCTGCATAAATGCGCCAAATTTTATTTATCTGTTTACAGTATGTAATTTAGTAGAGCAATCTGTCTGTGTGGTCGCGGTTTCCAGGTGTTCGAGCGATACGCCCTTGGGTGCTGTCATTGGTAGTCAAACATTAGCTCTTTATGACATGATGATTTCAAAATCCTATACTGTAGTGTCGAATTATTGTGATTATTGTGTACAACGTTATTTATTATCTCTTTCCTACACAAAGATCGCGATGCGATCATGATTTGGGTACCTAGATTCAAAATGAAACCTAATCAAATGCATTCTTACGTATTTCATAGCGTCGTCAATAACTTGTGGCAAATTTTATGATGCATCGGTTCGCGAATGTTTTGATGCTCAATCCGGCAGTTTAATCATGCAGTCTAGACTTTAACTTATTTCTCTGGAGGCGTTTCGTCTCGTTCGATACACATTAACAAGTAAAAATAATAATAATAAACAATGCGACAAGTCTTTGATCAATTCACAGTCGACTAAAGAAGATTTATTTACACGGAGGATTTGTTTGGCTCTTGTGCATTTCCGTAGGAACAGGCTTATTGTTATTGACGACACTAATAATTGAATGGATCGCTCTCTTTTTTGAGAGGTTCTTTCGTATGCATCGGGATTACCATAAACGGCTTTAAGCTTTACATGTATTCGCGACTTTTGGATTCGATGTTTGTTTCTGTTTACGCATTATTTTACAATTTCGTACAACTCTCGCGCATTATTTTGCAATTTCGATCTTTTCGTTGTTTGCAAATTCGCCCACCAACCATTCAACCAATCAACCACCTACCTACCTGTCTGTCTGCCAGTCTGCTTGCCTGCCTACCTGTCTGTCTGCCTACTTGCCTACCTAACTACACGCACCTTTGTTTCTCATTGAAACATTCTGTCTCCCAGGGGATTGCATCAAGGAGTTAAAAAGCCGAATTTTTTTTTTTAAAGCTCCGGACTTACTTAAAAATTTACTTTAATTTCAACGAAATAATTAGTTAGCATCAATAAACAATAA